AGATCTGAGGCTTTAGCTGAAGTCACTATCTTTCGTCCCGAGGCCAAACTCACCTAGAGGGGATCGATAGCGGTAGTAGCGCGAACTCCGATGGCATCAAGACATCGTCGTGAAATGAAAGTATGTGTCGCTCCAGTATCAAACAAAGCAAGCACAGGAACATTATTAAGAATAACCATTCCGGACATGGTACCTGGCTGCTGCTCGGCCTCTGCCTGATCGATGGCATAAACTCTGGCCTGTTGTCTACCCCTCTGCTGCTGCTGCTAAGGCTGCCTCTGTGCCTGCTGACGGGGCTGCTGCTGCTGCAGTGGCTGCTGAGGCTGTTGAGGCTGCTGAGCCTTCTTCGGACAACGGTTCGCGAAGTGTCCGGGCTCATGACAATAGTAGCACACATCCTGACCAAAGCGACACTCGCCTCGGTGATGTCGTCCACATGTCGGGCACTTTGGAACCTGCTGTAGCCTCCGTCGAGCCCTCTTATCTGTCTGGGCACCCTTATCCTTCCTCTTGTTGTTCTTGGCTGGCTGGGTAGATGGTAAAGCTGGCACTGGTGGAACTGAAGACGACTGACCACGAACGGCCTCCCTCCTAAGGCTAGCATCCACCTCCTGAGCAATGGAGACTGCACGTGCATATGTCTGTGTCCCGTGGCCTACGATGTTATGACGGACTGTTGGGTAAAGCCCGTCAATGAAACGCTGCGCTCGCTGGGCCTCCGTGCGGACCAAATCAGGAACGAAAGTTGCAAGTCTCGTGAACTCCCTCTCGTACTCGTCGACAGTACGAGTACCTTGATGGAGCGATAGAAACTGACGCTCCATCTGTAACACCCCACCTTACTAGACAAATCAGAGTAGCGCATTTAATCGCAAAGTCTTTGAAAAACTAAACATTTTTACTTTGCGAGACTGATTTGGGGTGCTACCGTGAAAATCTTTACTTAACTTTAGAAAACTGTTGTTTTAACTTATTAAAAACGTCCGGTTATTAAAAAAAACTGTGTTATCTAAAAAGTTTATCAAAATATGATAAAACCGTCAAAATCATCAAAGCATCGTCAAGAGATCGTCAAAAGTAAGCGGAAGCGTAAATTTTAGTTATACATTCCAAAACACATATATATAAATGTCCTGAAAGTCCCGATCTGCTTCCGTCACGTCACACTCCCGGCCCGACCTGCTGACCTGAAAAATAAGATAAAACTGGGGCATGAGCACTAGGCACTGTGCTCCGTGGAAACTCATACTAAAATAAAACATCGTAAATAATAACAATATCATGAACTAAGCATATATATCTGAACTGAACTGATACCGGTCTGAACTCGCGACCGAAGTCACGTAATTGAATCTGCTCGGCACAAACTAATGCCGCTCGGCACAAACTAATGCCGCTATCTCCCGGCACAAACTAATACCGGACCATCTGCACACTCTAGTGGTTAGATAAGGCCACTAGAACCCAGAATGGACCGGCGACCATTCCGAGCGGATACTGAAAATACATACCTCGAACATGGTAGAGCATTTATAAA